AGGAATGGATTTGTAAATCTGTTTCTTCCTCAAGCGTGTAAGATAGCTTCTGAGATAGTGCTTTTTCTAGCAAATACTATTGCTTCTTACTTCAGAATCTGGAGTATTAGTATTACTTTAAAAAATGGCAATTAGATCAGTTTCCAGCAGGTGCAACAAATTATAAATATCAACAAAACTTAAACTTTTTCCTTGAGGGTTGCTGTTCCAAATGAGATCATCTTGTAGGTTTTTTTTCAAAAAGGACTTGTATCAGGGAAGAAAAGAGGAGCAGCAAAACTTGCTCTCAACTTACAGTCCAGGTAAGAGGAAACAGCTTTACACAGAAGGATCGTTGTTATTTTAAGACCTTTAAATAGCCTTTGGTAATTGAAGTTTCTTTTTAGGAGGTTATAGAATGGAATAAACTTAGTGTCAGCTTTTTCAATTCATTCAAAACTTCATTGGTATGATGTGCTTCTTCCTTACAATAGGCTTTTGCATCGTAACTGTGCTTATAAAGGTCTGGGTATACAGATATAAGTACAGTGTTGTGATAAAGGTGGGGGGGCGTAAAAGACTGATAAGCATATAATGCACATGGAGGGAAAGACATTGACTCTAGTCAAAGATGAATGTACTTATTTTTTCAGCACTGCCAAGTCAATCTAATGACTATCCTATGGTTGAAGGAATCTGAATGCTGTTATATTACACTTTATTTTCCAGCTCATTGGGCAAAGGGGGGGGTAAAATGTATAAAATGTGCAATATTTTGCAACTACTTCACTGGAAATGGTTCGTCCTAGACAAGGACATGAAACTAATACCAACAGGACTATTATCATCTGAGACTACCAAGGAGATGAATGCTGTATCTTGGCCTACAAAAGAGCCTACCTTTCCACTACTGAAAAACTACTTAAAGCACAGTATTTCATACCTGTGACCTTTCAGATAAGGAAATGTAAAAAAAGAATACAGACAGCTGCAGGTAAAAAAATTATGTTTGAGAGCCTCATAGCCTTTTCTAATTCTTTTTCTGTAAAGTGGGAAAATACTCCAGATTCTTTCTCTTTCGTCTCTTCTCTTGTATGCATGTTCTTTCACCTGAAAGCTTTTGAGTAATTTAAGAGATTCCCACACTTAAAGAAACAGTCAGGTTTGGGACAGATTCCAAAAGAGTTCTATGTTATTTTGTCAAAATAGAACTGAAAAAAAAAAACAAAACCCAATTTGTGCAGTGCTTCAATAAATCAGAATCCTTCTTCCATACAGTAGCTTATTAATGAATTTATCAACAAATATTTCAACAGCATATTTCATAGCATTTGTTTACTACACAGAAGTTATTTCCAGATGAGTTGTGTTATTTAGCTCAAATACTGTCTTGCCTGTTCTTTTAATAGTTGAAAAAATCAGTTTGAGGATCAGCTAAAGATCAAAGACAGAACTTTAGCTTTGAACAGAAAAAAAGTATTTTGACAGGTTGTAGAAGATGCAATATTTAATATCTTTGCTTTATTCCGATTAGACTGGGAAGTCATATCGATACCTGTATTATCACCAATTCTGTATGAAATAGGGTCTCAGTATGAAATACTGAGCTACATGGAAGATAGTTTTCAGAAGATTAACACAAACTTGCAAGAGAACAGTCAGCCATATTAGTTTAGGTGAGTAAAATAAAATCAAATCATTAAGTTATTTTTTTTAATTTATTAGAGTATAATCAGCACATAATCAATGAATTCTTATTACTGAGGACTGAGAGCTAAAAAAGAAAAAATAGCCATAAACTAATCAGTCAAGTCAGTCACACACATTTCCCCATAATACAGAAGAATTCACTGCCTGTAAAAATAGACAGGACAGATAAAAAGAATTCAGAATAAAACTTTACTTTTATGTACTCCAAAATCCCACTTCTAATTCAAATGAAAACTTAGAAATAGTGTAACAAAAAAACCCCCAAACAACAACAACACAAGAGAAAGCATATTCAAATAATTTTCAGTTCTTTCCAGTAGAACCAAAGCCACCTTCACCACGTTCCGTATCATCTAGAGCCTGAAAGACATCAATTACGGTAAGTTGGTTTAGTGTCTTAACTTGCCTTTTGTTTCTATACAACAGATATCATAGAGGAAGGTACATTTACTCATAACAATAGCTATAATTGAGAAACTAAACCAAAAGATTTTAAGAGACATTTTAGAATACCTTTTGTACAAGTTTAAACAAATCCCACATTTTGCGACAAATGTTTCTAATATATATTGAAGTGTTTCTAAAGTGCCAATTAACTCTGAAAACTACAAAAAAAAAAAATCCATGTAAATGCATGCAAAGCATCAACATTTTTATTCAGGTGTTGTTGCTACCTGAATAAAACTGTTTCAGTTTTAATACTGAAAGTAGTTTTAAAGCGAAGTATTTATCTATACCATAAAATTCAGCTTATATACAACTATCTTAAACTATTAATTATTGAAAATAGCAGAAATATTTTCTTTCGGCAACTTACTTGAACTTCTTCTAGCTCAGGATAATAAATGCGTTCACAGATGAGCTGGGCAATCCTATCCCCTTTTTTAACTGTGATGAAGTTAAAAGATTATTAGTTCCTTTTAAAAAAGTGAACAATCAATATGAAGTTTAGATAATCCCCTTTCAAGAGTATCAGAATGTACTAATGTGTAAACACTTATTTGAAGCTCAGTTAAGCAGATGTTAATGGTCCCAGAAAAATACAGGGTAAGATAAACTTGTGCTTAGTCCTTTTAAGGTGAAGTTTTAGCAGCACTACCAGCACAAGCCATCTCCCCTCATTCCTCCTGCCATACTGTGGCATCTTAAGTGTTATTATGCATAAATACTGCAGAGATGGAGACAGCTGTATGTATAATATGGCTCCTTTTTGTGAACACAGGAACTGATTTCTCTGGGGGGAGAGGAAAAACCCAAACTGATAAAAGGAAAACAAAATTTCTGATTAGTACTCAATCTGGTTCACAGAGCTTCTGTAAGAAACTGTGAAGTTGCAGAAAAAGCCACAAAAACGTTGGCAATATTGTAACTGAGCCCTGAGGCTTAAAACTGTTTGCAGGGAGACAGCATGATTAAGGGAAAAAACATACCTTTATTACTCATGTTTCCCAGGATCCTGAAGAAGTTTTTATCTCAAATACCACTCAGCTAAATTTTTAATTTTTTTTTTTGCAGAGCAAGTAAGAAACTTAATACAAAGTTGTGCTTCAGTACAGCTTGTGAATCTAAAGCTTAGCTAAGTAGGGGTTTTTTGTTTATTTTAGTTTCCTGGTGGTGTGGTTTTGGGTTTTTTCGGGGTTGGTTTTTTGGGTTTTTTTGGGTTTGGTTTTTTTTTTTTTTTTTGCATGCTGCCTAATCTGCTAGGAGTGGAATCTTTTCGTGTTTCCTTGACATGATATTTTTAAGTTTCCATGTTTTTTGTTAATTGTAAGAAGAAAAATGTTCTCAGCTAATTCTAACTCTTCAGACTTTTAAAGAAAAATTAATTTCTCATTTCCAGTCAGATGGCTGAAAACAGGCTCTGCCAAGCTGAACACTTACCTTCAAAATTCTCCTTGCCAAAATTGAAGAGTACCACACCAACATTTCCCCTGTAATCCTCATCAATAACACCAGCTGTCATAAGGAAGAATTAAGAGGGATATTCAGTTAATAAATGTTGTCGGTATATTAGATCAGTAGATTAGATAAGATTTAGATTAGTAGATGATTGCAGTATCTCATATTGACATCCTTTATACTACTCATGCACAATTAAACAATACATATATGAAAATACTGAAATATCTGAAAATGCTAATCAATCTTGCAAAAAGAACTGAAAAACACCATCACGTATCAAGAAGTGTTTCATCACTGTACTACTAATTTTAGTTGCAATACCCTCTCTGAAATCACGACAGCTGTACCAAATTCAGGCTCCATTTGTTCTGCTAACTTCAGCTCTTTGAGTGTCAGGCAGAAATCTGTTCTTAACTCTAACATTTTATTTGAGAGCTATAGATTTACACAGATCCAAATCCTGTATCTCAGGCAGGGTAACAGAACTAAAGCTTTAAGGAATTGATTGTCATTCAACTACACTCAAGTGTAAATACTGTAAAACAAGCTTACAGTTATATTTTTATATAATTCTATTAACTACATAGTTCAGGACATTATGATTATTTTAATGTGTATTGGTAGATATTCTGCTTATTTGGGGTTTTTCTCACAGATACAGGAAGCATATTTCCAACAGAAAAACCGGAGTTTTGGCTTCCTTGTGAACCAAAGTATGTATTTTGAAACCTATTGCAGAAATAATTCAAATACTAAAATTACATGTCATTCCCAGACTCATACATAAAAGTACTACCTTTAGAGATTATAAACACCAGAGGAAATCATAGTATGACTATACCTTGAAGTTTTGATGTTGAACCACTACATACACACTTAGAGAACGGAAAACTGAGGGGTTTTATCTCAGTTTCTTCAGCTGTGTGAAAATATTGCAGTACATATGGTCCGTAGTTACTGTACAATTTCTGCACTAGTTCTAGTGTGAAAAAAAGTATACAGTGTCTTTCCCTTGTGATGTTACAGGTTAATCCAATCACATTTCTGAACAGCTTCCTAATTCAGGTACTAGTAACACTGGGAGTATCCCCTGAGTTCTGAAAATTCAGAAAAATATGCAGTTCGCAAAGTAACTCACTGGTATTTAACTGCATGCAATTGCTTAAATGGACCCAAATTACAGCACTGTCAAAAGTAACAGTGAACAAAACATAGGGGTTGCTGTGCATGAACATTTTCCAGAATCAAAAAAATTCTTAAAAACTTCTTGAATGTAGCATTGAGTTCAGTTGATTCAGGTAGCTTGATGTACCAAAGCTACATGCATAGGTTCTGTACTGTTTATTTAGTTTAGGTTAGACCAGCTTTCAGAAAGTCAACTACACATCAGTTAAATTGAGAATTACAATACATCACTTATATTGGTGATCACAGAGCTTGCTTGCACCATTTCTACCATGGTTCAATGTTGCAATCCAATACTTAAAATATTAAAAATCAAATCCTATGCACAAGTGTGAAGTGTATAAGCAAAAAAGGCTGAACTATACACCAAAACATGAATGTTTTGCTGCCTCCTAGCAAAGTACTATTTCTTCCTCTTTTTTAAAATATCAGATAATCCAGAGCCCTTATATAGTTGCTAAACCAGGGGCGACACAAAGCGTTAGCTAAAGAGTGCTATGCAAATAGTTTGCTTTGTTTTATACAATAGTGGACGCTGAGTCCACGCTACATACATGCATTACGAAGAGAGATTCAACAAACTTGTAATGGCAGCAGAAATAATTGTAAGCATCACTCAAATTCTCAAGTCAGTTGCCCCTCAATTTGGTGTATTTGTTCATGTGAGTAAATCAGCTGGAGAGCTGAAAGCCAGAATTCATATTTGGCATATAAAATTATGTACATATGCTCACAAATGCATATAAAAAGATCATTACCTCTTTGGATAAATGCTTAATTTGACAAACCATTCTCAAGTGTTTCTGTACAGCTAAGACAACATTTTTCTAGACCATATGCTGGGTTAGATATTGCTATGCATTAGAGATTGATAATGGCATTTGCTCATTTAACATAATGAGGGCCGGTTTTATTTCTGTTATAATACAGTATTCTGCTCTGATATAACACAATACTCAAAACTGATTACTACAGATTACTAATACTATTTAAATGGAGATTATGTTTTTATATGTATAAAATGTACCAATTAAAGTAGTACGGTTAGATTTACAGATGCAAGAAACTCTTGCATGTCACATTTTTGCTGGAATTATCTGAAGAAAATACATAGAACAGAACAACTGGTGCCACTTAAAGTCATTCTAAATTAACTTTTCTGCCTTCATACATCTGACAGAAAGCAAGTTTATTTCCACATAATGACGAAAATTGTACTTGATCTATTGGTTAGTGCTTAACCGCTAATGAAGCTTTTTGATCTACCAGGGTTGCTACTATTTTCTGGGAGAGGAAAAAAACAAAACCGCATCTAAAGCTTAGCTTGTATTGGAGTAACTGGAGCTTAATGGCATGTTAGTACTTAGTACTTCTGCCCCTTTTTATACCCCAAACCTTTTTTTTTTTCCCTTCCCTGAAAAGGAGTGTTATAATAGCTCTATACTGATTTACAATGAATCTAGTCAGATGGCTTCCCTGACCTTTAAACAGTGGCATTAGCACAATCCCAGCTTTATGTATAGACACTGAAATTTATTTTACAAGTATTTGTTGAAAAAACTGTCATCTAAACAGATACTTCTATGAACAGATACCAAAGTCTTTTGACCACCTATTTCACTACTGCTAGAGACTGGCTCTCTAGGATTTGAAAACTGTCTGTTAACTAAAGTTGGAAAAGACTGATGAGTATTTCTGTGGCTGAACTGAAGTCAGCAACACTCAAAATTTTAATCACTTGTATTATTCACTAGAGGGGGGGAAAAAACCCCTCTCTCTAAACCACTGTAATTTTCTAAGCTTAACTATAAACATGTTGTAATGGTTCTACAGATTGTGGCATTCTGTTATTCCAGAACAGCAAGTTGCAATAATTATACACATTGCAGAGCACTAAGGCCCTTTTCTAAATTACATGTATTGAGTGGAAATCATCTAAGTCATTTTTGGAAAAATCATGCATTGGAATTGGCAGTCTGACATTCTGTCTTACTCTGTCAGAACTCTGGCATGTCACTTGTTGGGAAAGCATCCACATTAGAACAATGTAATACGTATTTAGTGCTAGTTAAAATTGCTGTGGTTACAGCTGTGCTCAGAGTAACCCCACAGTAATCTTAGTGGTGAGAACTTCTGTGCAATGTAGATGCCATTTTAGAATACAATACTTAGGGAATCTGCCTGTGCTCTCATCAGCCCCATGGCAAAACTGGAATTGAACTTTCAACAACATTTACTTCATGTTGCAGTTATAGAGATATGGACAATGGGGCTTTCGTGAAGGCTTTTGATTCTAGATATGCTTATAATAATTGTTTTTGGAGAGGTATCTGTGAATTTCTAATCAAGATTAAAGAAAAGCTCAAAATACTTTAAAAAAAATCCTGTTGTTCAAAACAAATCTGTTGGTAGTACTGAACAACAAAAACACCTGTAAAGACTTGTAGAAAGTGGGATTTTAGTTTTATTTCTGTTTCAAACTGAATTGACTTCAATTTTTAAGTCAATTAATGTATAGTTATGAGTTTAAATTTCATTTGCTTTACATAATTTGTTACATCTTCATCACTAAGAGCAAACTAAAGCTCTTTTCATCCAAATAAGCAATCTTCTGTAAGCAAAGAACTACCCACAGTAATGGCGCATTCCAGTGCTTTCTGTCATTCCTTTTGAGTATCATTACTATATAGTCTCTGCATGAAAGAGTATCTGTATATTATTGATTTAATTCATTCTGGTCTTACACTCGAATGAAAAGAATCACAGACAGATGTTTAGTCAAAATGGAGAAAGCAGAATGTAAAACATAATCTTTAAAGCCTAAAGCAAAAAATAACTTCTATGCCAGGCATTGCCTAAAAAAGTACGACACGATTATTATTTTTAAAAAAATCAGTAATATTTTTATAATTCAGCAGGTTTTAGAATAATTATGATGCACTGGTTCTCCAAGGTATTTCCCAGTTATCTCCTTTTGCCAGACTACCAGTGAAGCTAGCATTATTAATTTGCACATACTACAATGTGAAATTAAGGCATTTCTGCAATCAAGATTTACAAAGTCTTAGTAAAAAGAACAAAAATCTTACCACCAACATCTATGAAGTGTTTTGCAGCTAAACCAGAACGTGGTGCTAGAAAACAAGAATTTTTTTTGTAAGTAAAATTTATTTATTTTAAAACTCTTATACAATATTTATAGATTAGTGTGTTTGCACAGAGCCATGGCAGCAAGAACTGTTTCCACAGTCTTTCTAAAATAAACATGACTTTACAGGAACTACTGTAAGTGTTAATGTATATATTAAACAAAATAACAGCTGCTACAGGCTACAATACAATTGCGATCTTTAAGTGATATAAGCATATCCTTGTTTAGATCACCAATTGCAGAGTAGGTTTCTCCAAGGAAGGTGGCTGGAGCAGACGACAATCTAATCTTGGTTTATTTTTGGTGGCTACCACTGGTTTGGAATAATCTCAAAAGACTATTAGGTCAATCCATTCCAGTTACAATGGAAAACAACAGTTGGCAATTTACTAAGAAATATTATACACAGATAATAAACTAAATGATGTGCAGGGTTGGGGTTTTTTTGTTTGTTGGGGTTTTTTTACTTAGCCTAGGTGCTAAAATGTTACTCTCTCCAAAATTTTCTTTGCCCGCGATAAGAGAAATGCACTTGCATTCTCCTTTTAGATGAAAGGACACAGCAAACTCTGATCATGTGCTTCCACTGGAGAAGCTATTGCTTTTTTTTACTTCAAGAATATACATAATTCAGAAAAAGAATGCGCAGAACATAACAAAGTATCTTGCACAGGTTCTTGCAAGTATTCTGTCACAAAAAGTAGTCAAATTTTACTACACTAGTATGCTTACTTCAGGGTTAATTTTTAAACATCCAGGGGTGTATTTTCTGTGTGTCCATTACCTATTGGTCTTTGTGATTCAAATTCTGAAACTGCAGAGAAATAATGAGCTATTGCATGGCCTATGAAGTTGTACGTAGATTATGAAAATTTTTGCTAATCATCTTTTCGCCGTTTGACATACACGAAACCTCAAATGTATTTGACAAGAAACATCTATTACAAGGCTTAATAAATCAGCCATGTGACACCGGGTTTTTTTTTGTGTGTAGACTAATTCTGAAAGCTTTAAGCAGAATCTAGATGTGAAGATGGCGTCAAACCTGTTCTGCAATGACTCTGCTGCCTTTTTATAGCCTGTTTACTTACCTACTCGGCCATAGCATCCAGAAGGAAGTGCAATTTGAATGTCTGTTTTTACTACAGCCTTTTCCATGGGTGGTATCACACAGTCATAGGCACTACATTGAAGAAAGAAACACTAGTTTATATAGAATATTTTGAACATTTTCTTCTCTGTAACTTAAGGTACAAGATTACCCAGAATTATTCTTGCTGGGAATTTATACAAGAAATATTTACAGATTTGCAAAATCTAATGCAGATCCTAAACCACAAGATATTCCCACTTTGATGGTGCTAGCTTAAGATTTCAGTAGTGTCATTTGAACAGCATAGTCTTAAGATTGCTAGTTTTAAATGTTTTTTACACTGGTAAGATAGACAAAAAAATACAAGTTTAAATAACCATTAGGTGAATGGGGTTGTGCCATTTTTGTGCAAAAGCAGAAACTTTAAGAATAGTACACTTCTGGTTAAGCATTCTACAGCAGATGAACTACTTGTATTCAATAATAATAATATATTAAATTAAAATTAGGCAACAATGGTTCTTTTCTGAGCAGGTCAGAAGTTCAGGATTCACATGATTCTGTTGGGAACTATAAACGAGACAGATTTTTAAGAACTTTCTGAAGCTACCCAACTGGAAGCTTAATGAAAGGCAGTGGTGACAATACCATAAGTGAGCCTGTTCTGTTCTACTTGTTTAAGCCAAGCGTATCTTGGCCTTGGTGAAGAACTGATTTTTGAACACTGGGAAGCACTGAAACGTTTTTTTATGAAACACTTTTTCCAGGTGTACAGTCCATCACTGGAACAAAAGCAAACTTGGTAAAACAAAAGAAATACAAAGGAAAAGTGTCAAGTGTAGTTAAGCAAAGTTTCAGGAAGTCAGATAGGCAAAGGAAGAAAAAGGCTGATTATTCTAAGTAACACTAAAAAAGGGAACCTCTAGAGGAGGTCAGAGTGGAATTCACATATAACTAGTGATTGTATTTGATCACAGATGCACTATGCAAGCAACCACAAGCCTAGCTGCAGATATTCCCGAATACAGTGAAAATCTTTGAACAATGGTTATTATCAGTTCAAGCAAACCAAAACTTAAGTCTATACAGCAACCCACGTGGTTTCCAGCTAGGAGCATTATCAAGCTGACACAACTTCCTTTTGGCAGGCAGCACCCAAGAGCCAAGAGGAAAGAAGAAAAGCACAAGCGCTGGCAGGGAGGGCCCGCACACTACTCCTTTTTCGCTTCAATGGGAAGGCACCTAGTCAATGCTGGCGCCATCAGCAGCTCTGGCTGATGTGTCAAGCCTGACTTTTGGCCAACGGCTGCATCACACGACTGGACCACAAATCCCTGGAAATGAAGGGAGAGGAATGGAGGCACAAGGCAGCTAACGAACAGGCCAGCTCTGGCCTCTTCTGCAGGGCTGGCAAGCCTCTCCGGGGGCTCTGCTCAGAAAGAGGTCCTACCTCGTGAGGGCCCTCTCTGCTGCTAGAGCTCCGAGCCAAGGGGCTCGCTGAGCGGAGCGGCAGCTCCTCTCCCTGAGAGGAAACGGGCCGGGCTGGGCCGGTCGGGACCGGGGCGTGGCATGGGCTCCTCCCCTGGGTGGGGTACCCTCACCTGTATAGATCGTAGCCCGCTGCCCGAGCAGAGCCCCTGGAGGGGGCAGAGGCGTTCTCGGACAGCTTAGTGAAGCGGAGCCGTGCGGTGGGCTCCCCGGGCACCGAGCCCTTCTGCCTCTTGCTGGGGGATGGCTGCAGGACGGCCTCGGAGAAGGGCATCGCTGAGTGGGGACGGGAAGGCGAGAGAGACTCGTGTGAGGGGAAAAGGGAAAAGCCCGCGAAAACCGGCACGACCCACTGAAGGCGGAAACAGAGGGGGAAATCGCTTCATCGCCAGACGCTTTCT